AGTGGAGGGAATCATGTTATAGGATAACTCGTCCCACATATCTGAAACTTGAGTCCTCCATGCTTTATTGCCAGTTATAAACTTCCTGGATGAAATGCTAGCTTTTGGGAATATGTGACAGGAATTGACTCTAGAATCTGTGGTAGGAATAGACGTCATAGCAACTTCAAGGCAATGACCCAAGGGATGCATCAAATTTTTAGAAATTAGCAGCAGATAATCATTTTATAGGACATCATGTCTGGTCTTAGCATAAAGCATAACACCTTCGTTATCAGCACATTGTGAGTGTTAGTCCTGAAAGCTATTTCATTTGCAAACCAAAGAATCTGACACGATTAATCTTCCTTGGAGGCATAGTCANCACATTGTGAGTGTTAGTCCTGAAAGATATTTCATTTGCAAACCAAAGAATGTGACACGATGAAGTCTTCCTTGGAGGCATAGTCATAGACTAGTGAGAAGATGGTATTGTAGGATATCTTGCCTAAATATATGAAATTTGAGATTCCACCACGCAATTAATAATTTGTTAGACTATAATCTCATTTTGTGCTTAGCATGACTGTGAATGGATGTTCGAGGGACACTTCAACTAGTAGAAAACAAGCCACATAAGAGACGCCATTCTACCTAATTTCATTTATTCTATGTACTGTTCTCAATGTCGCCCCACTGCTACACCTATCAGATATTATTCACTCTATCATAGCACCTTATCAGGGAGGTTTTCTTATATATTCTATTTTAAATGATTAGAATTACACTCAATAATGAAGACTGAAATTTAATTTTCTTGTGGTTGCAGCCATGAAGCAATTTCACTTTCATGAAGCTTTAGTTTTCCTCTCGTTGTGGTTGAATGTAGTCAAATTTATTGGTTAGTTATTCACATTTCTTCTCCAATATCTGGGAAAAAAAATACACTGGCTTCTAATATATTGGCAACTAAAATAAGGGAATTGTGAGAAAACAGAGCAGAAAGCATACAACACCAAGAAAGTGCGCTATGAGCACACACCAATATTATCAAGGTTGGAAGCAAGTTCTTGATGCACCTGTCATCCACCTGACAAAAAATGCCATAAAGATCTTAATAACGGAGCAAAATCCTAGGAAAAGAACTCTATTCAGAGATTTAAATAGAAGATTAAGTTAAAAACACATCGTTATTTCATGAGCATGATAGATTTTGAGTTCAAGAACATTGATGAAAAGTAATGCCTACCGTATGAAGATCTTTAACATGACCGACTAAGAGGCATGAGAAAAGAAGGAAATAAATGCAAAAAAAATATGAAATTTGGCAAACAAATTAACTGTTATATATGAAAATAATGTAGATGCATGTGATGCCAAAACCTAAATCAGATACAGTTCAAGATCTGATGTATCCAGTTATCTTCTACAACTGGCTGTTTTCTACGTCAAGTGGGAAGTTCACCAATCGTCAAGCCCAGAAAAAAATAATATGGCATCAAAGATATATTTAAGTAAAATCTACCATGCCTTTATACACAAAGCTCGATCATCAATTTGTTTAACCAAAAGGCTGTTTAACCAGTCCTCTTCAAATAGGATTTTAAAATGTCATCTCCCAGGGGTTTATAATGAGACTAGAAAGCAAGCGAAACATTTATCCATTAGCCCGTAGCAATGAGGTGCTTTATGAGTTGTGGAGTCAAATTTAAAGGTCTTTGTTATTAGTACATGCCACTGTACAGAAATTAATTCTGTACGTGCAAAAAGTTCCTGGGAAAACAAAACTCGAACTCCGTTCATGGAACCACATTGCTTCATGCAAGAGATTTGGAGGGATGGAAATAGACATGCATTTCATGTTGTTGAGGGAGCTGTTGTCATTATGGAAGTAAGCAATTTTGTCTTTGCTCTATGATATTTTGGACCCAAAATTTCATCCCAGCATGTATCAAATCTTGGATTTTCTGGATCATGTAGATAGGATTTGAGAAAGCTTTGTTTAAAAATCTGCTTTTGCATCTATCTTTACTATAATAAAACTGTAATGCATCAAAAAAAATTGCAACATCCAATTGGCTTAGAGAAGAAACTTCAACGAAACTTAATCCACCTGAAGTTTAGGTTATTCGTGTCAATTCAATAATGAAATACTCAATTTCCCTGAACTTCTTGCTGAATTTAAATGTTCAAGAATGAAATTTAGCTCGCAACAAAGTTGCAGCACCTCGACATAAAATGCATCGCTTCAATAACGAATATGACTTCCACATATTTCTTAAATTTACAAGGTTGTAATCACAATAGACAGGATGGAAGATCTCACTAATGTAAACATGCTACTTAAATATCTTTCTTTTCTTTGCCAATTGGCGGGGTGACACGTTTTGAATAGTAAATTCTTTTCTTCACAAGTTAGACAATACTTTAGAAGGGCAAAAATTCAAGAGTCAAAAGAGAGAGATTTTTTTAGCACAACAATTAGAAGACATTATTAAATTTCTCCATCCCAATAGCAACATAATGACTGATTGATGGTGGAACTAAAAATTTAAGGATAGAGATATCAGAAATAACCAACTTAACCGCCAATTCAGGTTGATGGGAAGTACTACTAGTAATATGTTATTTGTATCCATTTTGGAGGTAAACAGGTGTTGATTTTGACTGTTTGGGGTCAATATTAACCGAACCGAGTAGATTTTGTCAGGTAGGGGTCAATTTGACTAAATTAGTGTTGCTTCTAGTAAGGATATTTAAGATATTTACAAAAAAAAAGGCCTTTTAAACAAAGAATCAAAATGTAAAGCTATTTTGCACATTGGAAGAAGGCCATTTTAAAATTCCTCAAATATCCAATATCCAGTCAAGTGTACAAAAACTAGACCAAAAAACACTGGCAGCCAACGCAATTTTGTGTAGTCTAATAGTTGAATACAGTGACCTTCTATTAACCAACTCTAGGAAGACCCACATTTCCCTTAATAACATATCAAAAATAAATAGATAAAACCTAAGATCACGTTTAAAAGTTGTAAACTGGTGGTGAATGGATCTGCTATAGCTTTGAAAATTCAAGCAGTTGACGGTCGCTGAACAAGGTTCATGGATTACTTGTAGCTTATCCATCCATGGTTTCATTTCTGGAAATTACAATAACATGGAGACGAAGCTGTTCGAATATCGAACATTCAAAAACACAGAGTTATGTGTGAAAATGCATATCATAGGACATGGTGAAAATGCAAAAGCAAACTGATTGAGAATGAAGTGGAAGTCCTTGCTGCAACAAAAGAGTTTTGATTTAAGTGATTAATCGGGCTAAATTTACTTGTCCAGAGAGCAATATGAAGAATACCTGAGAGTATCAAGAACAATTATAACGAGCTAATCGACCCTCGGGTGAATAATAAAATGGTCAGGATCTGAAGAACCATTATAAACAGGAAGACCACAATGCCGAACACGATCCACCCAAATTATCACTCCTACAAAAAAATCCCAAATTTCGGCAATTGTTATTTCTGTTCCCAGATGAGGCCAGCTTTGAAGACAGAGTACCGGCTATTGTATTGAAATTAAATCATTTAGAACAATCAAATTGAGAGAGAAATCAACATAAATAAATCCGATGCTACCTTCGAAGTTTAGTGATGATCAGGTTAAGTGGAAATCACAACAACGCAAGATAAACCCTCAGCCATTTGTACCCTCCTATTCTTGTTTGGTGAACTGAAAAATGATTAGAGCATGTGGGTTAAAAATATGGAAGAGTTTGTGTGGTAAAATTTGTCATTTCGAAGTGCAACATGTTAACGTAATTGATTACCTGTCATCCTATCATTTATCAATTTATAATACAATCAATCTTTTCATTTAATTTTTTTCTTTCACATCATATTATATAATTCTTTATGTACAATTTTGATGTACAAGTAGTAAAATTCTACTGAGAAAATGTCAATTAAAAATAAGTCTGAGAAAAACTTACATTGTTGAGCAACAAGTGGTTAACAATTTGGTAAAATAGACACGTAGTTATCGAATTTTACCCTTATTTGCAATCAAGTTATTGGAATTTAATTTGTTGAGAGCAATTAGGCCATTTCGTTGACCTTCTATTCAACCACTTAACAGAATTTGTAAAGTAACAATTAAAAGTAGGAACATCTCCATTCAGTATGTCAAGTCAACATTTCAACCTCGATCGCTAAACATTTAATATGGATTAATCACAATACTTAACTTCAATTTCAAAGTTCTAAAATGCATTTGATAATTTTTAATATTATTCTTTATTTATTTTAAATATATTAAATAAATAAATAATGCATATCAAATAACTAAAATAATAAAAACTTTAATTACTTAATAATTTCTACAACTAAAAAAATTTTAATTTTCGAAAATTAGTTCATTCAGTTCCAACTAGACACTTTCTAATTGATATAATAGGTCGAACCCCTAACAATAAATAATAAATATATGGATATGCCAA